CTTTCCATTACCATTGTGCCATTAAGGCAGTGTTCAGTTCTTTTTTCCTCTTTCCATTACCATTGTGCCATTAAGGCAGTGTTCAGTTCTTTTTTCCTCTTTCCATTTCCATTGCGCCATTCAGGCAGTGTTCAGTTCTTTTTTCCTCTTTCCATTACCACTGTGCCATTAAATATAAGGCAGCGTTCAGTTCTTTTTTCCTCTTTCCATTACCACTGTGCCATTCAGGCAGTGTTCAGTTCTTTTTTCCTCTTTCCATTTCCATTGCGCCATTGACACAGTGTTCAGTTCTTTTTTCCCTTTAATCTTTCCATTACCATTGTGTGATGTAGTAGGCTTCATGGTATGATAATAGCGCCCTCTATGGTTGGTCAGCATTTTATAGCAGAGCCTCTGATGCAGCAAGCACAACGGACATTCCTCTGGCCAGGACTGCTAGGAGAAACCAACCCTTTAATCTTTCCATTACCATTGTGTGATGTAGTAGGCTTCATGGTATGGTAATAGCACCCTCTATGGTTGGCCAGCATTTTATAGCAGAGCCTCGGATGCAGCAAGCACAATGGACATTCCTCTGGCCAGGACTGCTAGGAGAAACCAATCAAAGTCATCAAGTTCTGTCAATTTTTTTCCAGTGTTCACCTTAAGTTGCCAGGTTATTTTGTACCATCTCACAGTCAAGATCTTGGCCACCCCAAGCCCGATTTTTTTTTCAACACTGGGCGTGCATGTAAAACATTCCTCATCAATACAGATGAGGAGTTTCAAATCAATCTGACATACAACTTATAGTTTATATGGTCATTTAAAGTTGAGGGTTAAAAGCGTACTAGACACCGTGTGCACTCAGCATACCAGTTGAAAGTGCAGGTACATTTTTTTGGTTGACCTGTTTCGGGAAAGTTGGAGCTGCATGAGAACAGTATGTGTGATTTTCACAGAGCTGCTGTCAAAGTGACTGTTACATGAAACTGAAGGCTCAGCTTGGCCAAGTGGTTAGGGTCTATGGTCTCCAATCACAGGGTTAGAGGTTCAAATCCAGCTGCTGGCAGTATGTTGTGGCTCTTGGCAAACCACTTCACTCCTGCTTGCCTCTCTCCACCCAGGAGTATAAATGGGTACCAGCATTAGCTGGGGAAGCAACCTGCGATGGACTGGCATCCCATCCAGGGGGGAAGAGAAATATTCTCAGTCGTTTCATGCCAAGGAAACCCAAGATAAACACCGACCTGATGAGCCAAACTAGCTCGGACCAGAATTGCTTTTTTCTTTTGCTTTTTCTTTCAGGAAACTGGGTTGTTTGTAACAAGAAAGATAAATGTAAGTGCAATTTTCACAGAATTGGTGTCAAAAGACCACAAAAGAGTTACTGAAAAACTCCTAAAGGCTCAACTACTGTACTTTGGCGATATCAGAAAAAATCCTGAGGGGGCAGATTCTATCTACTCCCTGGTCCTTTTAGGGTCAAATGTACGCACACAACTACTGTAACTGCACAATGGTGATTGTTAAGCTGTCACACCTGAAAGTGATTTGGTTCAGATAATGTCTTATGACCTTTATTGGCTTGAATGTCTATATTTGCAATCTTCCATATTCCCTTGACGTCACTTTGGGCATGTGTCTGTGACATCAATGCATGGCCTCAGCATCATCTTCAATACTTGAAAAGACAACTTACGGTCACGGCAGAAGACAGACTTCTTCTGGATGGACAGCACGTTTCTTCCACTCTCACTACCATCTCTGCTTCTATCCACTTGCCAACAAGTGCCCTAACAATAAAGAAAAAGTTAATTGGACTGGAGAAATAGAAAGGCCTCATTTCTGTCGATCAATATGAATGATTCCAAAGCCATTTTCACAATTAAAACAAGCACAATATATAACCCTTACTGTTCAGGGTTGTTTGGCTAGAAACCCTGCCAGACACATCAATCTGCATCATTTTGTCAAAGTGATTTGCTTGCCCGGTATAACAAGATCCAACAGGTCAACTCTTTCCAAGGCCAAACAGCCTGGGAGTCTGTGGTTGCTAGTCACCACAAGATCCAACAGCGGCATTGTTCAATGAGACCAGCTCCCATTGTCTCCACATGACCAGTTAGTTTGGCTACTGTTGATTGCCCAGTGCATCAAGAGGCATGTTCCCATTGGACTTTCTTTGGTTAACTTACCGCGACTTTCCTGCAGAATTACAAAATTAAATCCAATGGGAACACACGGTAAACTAACGTCCCTGTCAACTTACCTCAATCGTGATGTAAAACTAACAGGCCGAAAAGGGTCGCGGAAGATTTCCGCGCAGCCACGGTAAGTTAGCAGGGGCGCAAAAAGTCCAATGGGAACAGTTCCCATACAATGTAGATTGACCTCGATCACGCTAAACATACGAACCAGACTACTGCCTACACAGAGAAAATGGTTGTATGGTTCCCAGTCTCCAGCTCCATGCGTACAGTACAGCAGCATGCCACGCACACAGTGAAGCATGCCCGGATAAAGCTAAACACACATTGTGTACGGGACTTTTTTTGTATGAGTTCGTCATCTTTGTGGCAGATTTGGCCGAATTTGTCTGATTTTATCTTTGTTTTTGTCAGATTTTGCCGATTTCATCATGATTTGTACAGCGCAGGCAATGCAATCAGCTGGTCTTATTAGGCCTAACACAGCGAATAAACATTCCGTTACGAGTTTAAAAAGTCCACGTGGGAATGTGCGGTAGACTGACCATGAAGGAATGTGAAAGTCCAATGGGAACACGGCTATAGTGCATCAGACTTTTACATCTCCTGCAGTATGCCGCATCTGGTAGGGTTCAGGTCAAGGTTAGCTTTTGCAAAATGATACATGCGGTTTTCACCATTTTTTAAAACCTCTCCTCTAAGGTTGTGAACTGCTGGCTCTCTTTGATTCCACAATCTGACCGTCTTGCTTGGACCTTCATCAATGTTCCAAGAGCAGGTGTTATGACAATAAGGGGGCTTGATCAGTGAAATTAAAATAATCATAAAATGATTTAACTAATTCACCCATTTATAATAAAAGATTTTCTTTTTGCAAGACAAATATTCATTTTCATGTCGTCCTTTTTAAGGAGCTGCAACAAACTGTTCAAAGATTCAAAATTGTGGCTTTCATCAGTAAATTTTGGGGGAAAGTATACCCCAAGACAGGTTTAGCGTCGCTTATGTTCTCAGCCAGAAAATATTTGTCATCATGCGTACAAAGTGTATACCATCCAGCGCTGTGCTGTCTCTTCAGTTTTTAATTTAGTTCTCTAAGACAACAGAAATTAACACAGAACTGTAAGTTTGTTTTGATGGCTGCACCAAGTGGCAACTTCAACTTTATTTTAAATAAGGAAAGATTTGCAGCTGAAGCAGATACATAATTCAATTTATGCCTGATCTTCCTGACCCTATAGGGGAGGGGAAGGTTATCTCCCCCTCCCACACACACAGATAA